GGTGACAGCTGCAGGGACACAGACAATCCCCATCTTTCCAGTCCTGATGTGACTTCAGAACAAGTTTCTTATGGATATGGGCCGTGAGTCAAGTGTATTTCAACATGTGGGAAATCCAGTCACGCCATGGGATGTCCAGCTAGAAAACCAGCTAGTCCTTCTTCTCTGTCACTTCTGCACCAATTAAACTATTACCCAGCCAATCCATCCACCTTTTGGTGTTTGTTCAAAGAGGAGCAGCAAAAGTTATGGGGGGCCAGGAGTTATTAAATGATAATCTGCATTGATTGAGCAGAGGAAAAAATACTGCCTTTTGAAACCACTGGAAACAGAATGCAAGAGAGAAAAGAAGTGCTCAATACAGGACATCTARGCAGCCTGCCACTTCTAACTTTTGTTAATGTTCGGTGTCTTGRGACTACGAGTTCTGAGCAAGCTATMATTAGGAAGCAACACAGTCCCTCAGAAGTGATTCCCACTTCAGCTACTTCTGTAGGCGTTTCTTAATTGGCATTATTCAAACAAATTCCTCTGGATATGGGTAAGGGCACAGTCTTTATGGAGTCTTCAACTGTCTCCTAAATTATTCCAAGTATCTCAGTGAAAGAGTCTTTTAGTATGAGCTAGTTACCACCTGYTTACCATCTAAAATAATAAAACAGAGCAACTTCAGTAGATTCTGAAAGAAAAGGAAAATAAAATATCTTCTTGAATCTGTTTTCCAATAAAAAGGATTAAAAACCAGCTCAGGAAGGAAATCAGTAAATCAGCAACAGAAAGACTGCTGCAAGGGGAATCTTCAAGACATTCCAAAAATGGAATGGCTGCTGGTTTGCTCTAAAATAGACCTTGAAATCAAACTAAAAACACATCCATTTCCTGCAGCAACTTCATGTTATCTTAATACAGTGTTTATAGCATGGCACTTATAGTATAGATAATATTCCCTTCTAAAGGCTGGGAAAGCAAATATCATTCGCATCAAAAATGTACAGCGCTTCCTTTCCCATCCCATCCTTTCCTTTTCCCTGGAACACCTGGCAACTCATGGAACTACAGCAGGAGTTTWTCCTGAGGACACTGGTTTGCGGTACCTTGCTAACAGCCACAAACAGCTCCTACAGAGACAGCAAATGGGATTCCCTGCCTCCCACGGACCGAGCAATGGGAATCAGCCTGGCTCACCCAGCTGCAGCCCAGTGCCTCACCATGGGAACTGCGAGGGGAATTAGGAATAGTGACTCTAATTGGGATTACAGAACTCTCTGCATTTCAAGGGAATTAAGGCTGAACTTTAGGTTTACTTGTCAGCGAGGCAAAAAATTGCCTTCAAACCTAGCCTTAAGTATCTCCAAAAATGTCTGGATTTGTTATTTTGCCTAAGGTATGCTTCTAATAACAATTTATGCATTGTAAATTTATAGGCGTCCAAAATCATATGAGAATAAAGAACCGATGACATTAGAATTTATTCTCAGCATTCTTCTCTCTGCACAATATTCTTATATTAAGGTCTGCTCTTCTGCCCAGTGGTGTCAAGTGCCTCAGAAATGCCACCACCCAGGCACACATATCCATAAAAAGCAGACATTTGCCTGAGCACTTTTTATAGTAGATAGTCCTTTCAGAAGCCAAAGGAAGGTCAAAGTTAACAGCGTGGCAGCGATCCCCTTGGAAATGTCCTCCGCTCATTTAAAAGATCACCACACTTCCATTTCACCACATTTAAAATACAAATGACTTTCACAGATGAGGTTGAAATCCATGGCCAATTAAAATATATATAAATATATGAGCCACACACCATTATCACTACACTAGAAAACCAGAGTAATGTCACTTAACGGTAGCACAGCAGAAATGGTCCAGTAATTGACACGGGGGTGGACAGGAAAATAATGAAGCTTTTGCTCGGGGTGAATTTGAAGCAGCCAAGTCTTTTAACTAAGGACAAAATAATTGGAAAGTTTTAGTTAAGAAATAATGGGGAAAATGAACAAAAGACTACATAGAAATAGCTTGTGTAGGCTTAGATAAAACACAGAGCAATTGAGACTTGAAGGCAGCAGAGGCAAGGATTAGAAAAGTAGAGAGAGAAAATTAGAGGAAATGACAAAATATTATGCACAGATGCCACCCTCACCCAAGTCATAGTTTTCTGYGGAACTGTTCAGAAAGCGAACCTAAGAGTGAGCAGATATTGCAGCTGAAACCCGGGGAGCTCTCGTCCGGCTTTGGCATGAGAAGGGTTCAGGTGGAGCCTTCACGTCCRGCTCTTTAAGCGTTCCTCCCTCAGGAGTGAACGTCTGCAACAAGACAAAACACYGCCAGGGATTCCCTTCTCTTCCCCCACCTCCTCCAGGGTCCCTCCGGAGCCGGAGACACTCCGGGCACCTCCGATTCTGGAAGCAGCACTCGCTCCAGAGGAGCCCGAGGGACACAACCTGGAGAACAGCTCTGTCCTGCATCCACAGCATTACAAGGTCCAYGGGCAGCTCTGCTCCATTTGTATTTTTGCAGTCCCACCAGGAGTGGTGAATGTGTCTCTGTGTGTTTAGTTGTGTTCAGTGAGAAGGTCCTCAAGGCTCTAGCTTTAGCAAACTGTGATAATTCATAGCTAAAAAGCTGTCAGGAGCACTATGCTCTTTTTAATAGATGATACTTTCTTTACAGACACATTTAACACCCTCAGCAATACCCAAGACCACMTATATGTATTTATTACATACATATAAATGTATTTACACATGYATATATCCTTGAAACATCTTTTCCTACAAAAATCAGATATCTCAAATAAAAGATTCTGAAGCTTTTGCACAGTGATATGCATATGTATCAGCATCTTATGGTATTTGTTCATTCAATGCTAAAATGAATTGAAAATGGTTACTAAGATACATCTAAAATTTCCTTTCCTCTTCCTGCTTCAATCCACTCTTTTTTAACATCCATTAAAATACCTTGTGTAGGATTTTTCCTTCGTTCTTTTTATACCAAGGTTAAAGTTTTGTATTTCCACCCAATGGCTGAAAAGGGAGTTTTGAAATAAGCAGTCATTGTTGCAAGGATGGCAGCAAGGTTGGATGAACAATTAAGATAATGGTTGGATTATCCATTTGAATAGATAATGGTTGGATTATCCATTTGAATAATCATTTTGCTAATGATTGATTGCCGCCTTGGAGCATTTCATGAGGAATGGAATACAAGGAAAAATCAAAAGGAATTCCCTTTGAATGGACGCTTGTCATGGCCGAGTGCTGCAGTAGCACATGAGAATGACAAAGGACGTTTGCTAAGACAAAGCCAGCATTTTTTGCTAGAGAAGAGGACTTAATTTGTGTCTTTTTTCCCCCTCACAGATTAATATTTCAAATGCAAAGCACTGCTTTTCTGGTTATGCTGGAAAGAAAATGCTGCAAAAGAAAAGTTAAGGACAAAACTGTGCCTTTACCTTTGCTGTGCCTGAGCATGGGCACAGGCACAAGCTGCAGCGAGGATGTGCATGGGAATCCTGCACGGGAAACAATCTTTGTGCTGATTCTCTCCAAGGCAACAACCTAATTCCTGGAGGCGGAAGGAATATGAGCTATAAGCTGTGTTTGATTACTTGGCTATAAAGGTCTGCAGCCTTCCTGAGCAGATATAATACTAACCCTGGAATTTAATACATTAATCCCATAGATTTTCTTTCTGAGAAGTGTGACTCCAGACTCACTAAGCACAGTTTTTCTTAGGGATCCAATTTTTCACCTTTGTGTTTCACTTACTCATGCGCTGCGAGGTCACTGAGATAGCACAGCCATGAGTTTTCTGGAATCCTGAAGTATTTATTCCTGTAGCAGCACATATCGGAACCCAATAGTTTTCTCAGTTAAATCTGTAGATATTTTATTCCTGGGGATAGCTCCTGATCTATATTTTACATTGAACGGTTTACTCTTTTGTTTTTGTAATAGTTTAAGCTTAGTTTATATAAGCAAATTCCTGGAGTATGCTTGGATATTATGCAGGAAGTTCAAACTTGGTAGGTTTTAAAAATATGCTGTTTTAGGCTGGAGGAAAGAAATCCATTCTTTTGCTTCAGTCTCTAGAAGAACCCAACTTTCCATCTGAGCTAGGCTTTAATGAGGCAGCAGTCTACCCCCAAAGCTCAAATGATATTTTTTTCTGAAATCATTCTGGCAGAATATATTGAACATGCATTCTTTGCAATACTGTTGCTAGCAAAAGTAAGTGTTTCAAATGACCTTTGCCAGGCCCTGTGTTTACCAGGGGTATTAATTAAACTTCCAYGACAAATTCCACTAGGATTACATGGGAAGGAGGAATAACATCCCTCTGACAAATCTGGCCTATTTGGGGAGTCATTTAACTGACAACACAAGYTATTTGTGACCCTTTGTCCTTTGCATTACTCAGCCTAGAAACTTTGAACTCTTAGCTTAAAACTTGAAAGAATTACAGACCGTTCCTTTAGCAGCAGTGATTTCTGTTTCACTCGGCAGGATGCAAACCATCAAGACACTCCAAAGGTGTTGAGGCGCCTGCTTTATTTCATTGACATTGTTTGCCTCCTGGTTCTAAGCGAGATTAAAAGAAAAATCACTTATCCCAAATGATTTACCTATCAAGCTAAATAATATTGATTTTTCAGCACAGACTGCTTCATAAGTACAATCCTTAGCACTTCCCTACATCCTTATGATTCTGTATGAGAGAGGCAACTCCCTAAAATATCTTAAAGCATGCAATYCCTTACAGACTGCACGCAATAGGTATATTTGGTATCCTACATATCCTTAGGAGGTCAACACCCATGTTCAGTAGGACTGAATATGGAAAACAGAAAACAGTGGCAGCTCTGTGCCTTTGGGTCCTCATGCCTGTATCAGAATATATAGAATATATCGGGACATACCCTTCTGTCCTTGGGTAGTGGCTTGATTTGGAAATGACAAAGGCAGGAAAGGAAACTCACCGTAAGCGATGGGTTYGGTAGGTCCCTGAAGATGAACTCCAAGGGAGTGAAATTTTGTGTGTTAAGGCTGAAAAATATACACAAAACAGTGTTAGATTCTTTATACCTACTGCTGAGGAACCGTCCTCACCTAGAAGGTCAGTACTACAACAGTAGCTATGAAAGTTACCATCAGATGAAGCTCCATCCTGGAAGTCTTGCAAACAAGATGGTTTTGTCGTGGAACCTGTAACCCTACTCTAACTATTGCAGTATTTGTCTACAAATTCTGGGAATTTCAGGTAAAGGAAAGGGTACATCCTGTCATTGCTGGAATCTGGAATGAAAACTGCCTTGGAGAAGGTTAGAAATTCATGGTATATTGCAGGCTTTGCCCACTGCACAGAGCAGCTGCTGAARGAAGGAAGGGCAATTTGGTAAAAATCTCTATTAATTTGTTGCCGTTGCCAATAAAGTTGTAAACTCACAACAGGCAGGAGCAGATAGCGAGCTGAACACTTCATCTAAGTCATTAATCAAATGTTTTACATTTTTATTTGAAAAAGAGTGTCAAAGCACACTAAAATTGGATATAAAGAAAACAGAGGGTGAAAACAAAAGCTTAGCAAGACAGATAAGCAATTAGAAGATAGGAAGCAATGCAAATCTCCAGTGAATACACTGGAAGGAAAAGCACACTGGGGAGCTCAAATGACTAACTGAACCTAATTCCTTCTGTTAGCACAAGAAGCAGAGAAGACTCTTCTGTTTTTTTCCCCCTTCATGTATTTATGAAATATTCTTTGTGGCTATTTCAAGATGCTTATACGTTCTTTGGAGATGCTTGAATCTCTAGTCTTTTACAATTGCCCGTTTTGTAAGGGGGAAAAAAAAAAGCAAATTGATTCAGACCTCCACAGTAGGAAACAACAAAGAGAATCTTCTCCTGAAATGATCCTCGCTGAATCATATTGCAATTAAGATTAAACCCACCAAAGTAGAGATATATGTGTACAGAGATGACTATTTCACCTAAATAAAATTATAACACGCTCTACTTGTGATTTTGATCACAAGTATAATACAAATGTTCTCCTGGATGACAGCTTGGATATGATAGGGAGTTAATTAGGTATAGGTGCTAATGTCTTGTCAAAGTTATACACATTATTTTTGAAAGAGACATCTGGTTTCACTGCTCAATGCCAACTGAATCTTTATAACCAAAGGCAATAATTGTGTGCTGCTGATGTGCATCCATGAATAATTGAAGGGACTTGCCTTTCCCTAGCCTTACACTGGCTCCTGGGATTAAAGGGACCCAGGCTTTGCATTTATTAAATAGATCTAATCTTGTTTTTATTTAATTTCCATTTTTATTGCATTTCTGTTCTCTGTGCTCATTCATGTTAACATTCTCCCCCTATTGCTCCACACAGGGCTGTGTACATAACATCACCAAAATCAAAAGGTGCTTGAAAGCATCTCTTGTGCTTGCATTTCTTTAAAAAACCCAAGTTGGTGGCTTTCCGGGGGGATCTGTGAGCTTTAAAGATATACAGAAGAGCTCTTCAAATGACAAAAAGGCATTTATGAGAAATCACCCCAGTTGGCAGGGTTTCCTTTCCTTCTTACTGAAGAAACTCCTAATGAGTCTGTCTGTTGCACTTCGTAGTGTTATTTTTTTAAGTAAGGAAACTGCAATTATGTTAGTAAGTTAGGCTGCTTTTTTAATGTAGACTTAGAAGGTAACATAGGCTAGCAAGCTAATCCTGTTATTATGTATATTAAATCAATGGCCAAAGAGGTGTGTTTATTCTTGAGAGATATCCTTATCAAAACCTCTGCATGCGACTTTTAAAGCAGCATTTTTGTCTTATCAGTAGAGCAACACAGTCACTTTAGTRCGTAAGATAAAAGAAAGAGCCTGAAGATGCATTTCCTTACACACGCACACTTATAGGCAAAATAAATGAATGTTACCTTTTATATCTTTTTAGGCTTAGAAGAGGTTTRTTTGCAGCTATTCTTCACAGCACCTGTGGATCAAAAAAAGTCAATACTGGAACAAATTCCATCCTTTATACACAGTACTAAACCAACAACTATTCACCTGGGGCCTGATCCTACTTCCAATTAACTTGGAGCCAAAGTGTTAAGAGGTAGAACATTAGACCCATTATATTCTTCAAAAAAATGTATGCCAGGTGCTGTGTGCTCCAGGCATTGGCCACTGTTCCATGCAACTTAATAGGCAAAATGGATGCAGAACACAAAATATATACATGCTCTTACAGTTCTTTAAGGATATGCTGTGAATTATTTAAACTATAGTAATGCTAGAGCCTTTGTAGCCATTCAGAATGAAGGATTAATTATCTGGGGCTAGAGAGTAGCTGAATGTGCCAATGTGGCTTGTTCGCTCTTTCAGAGCAGTAGTTTAAAAATGGTTTTCACATTTAGTTTTGAAACCAAACTGCATTTTTATCAGTATTCCGTAGTCCCATAGAAATACAGAGTATAAATTGATTAGCACTGAAACAATGCTTCTTGCTCCACCTCCCCTCTCCTTTTTATCTTACAAAATTGCCCATTCCATATACAAGAAACAGCTGCACGATTCCTAGGGAAAGAGGAATGGAATAAATATTTGAGCTTTTTTCCTCTGTTCAACTGCAATTTGTTGGTGAAAACAGAAGTTGCCTCCCCAGATCTGGATGTGCAGTCATGATTAATTTATTACATTTTGGTAGGAGATCCTGAAAATGTCTCAAAATCCTCCATAATGCCATGGTTGGGATGTTTACTTCTAATACTGGACTACTTGGTTCAAGTCTCTGTCCCAAATCGTTAGGGAAGTGATACTGAGATTCAAGATCAGTGTCTGGCAGGTGGGTAGTGGGATGACACTGCTTTTTAGGAGGGATGGGTCCTGCTTATGCACCTAACTCTGCAGGAGAGGAATCCCAAGACAATAACAAAAAATGACAGAGACATAAAAACCTCCATAACAGCAGAGGAAAGGCATGAAATACCTCGACTTCACCAAATTTATCACAGGAAAAAGCAGGCTGCCACAAAACCATCTGCTTTTAGACACGTGGACAACCACAGTTACCTGCTGATAACTCTTTATATCTCAAAGTCTTACCTTTACAGTTGGACTTCAGTCAGAGCCTCTCCATAGTCTTAAGAGAGACTATATTGGATATGTCTCCGTTCAGTGTGATCCATCTTTTCTGCCCGGGCTGCCAGCCGTGGGTGTGCAGTCCTCTTCATGCAAACACACAAATGCTCGCTGGGCAGCCCTGTCACTGAAAGGCAGCATGACCTGCTTTGGAAATAGCCCGGGGCACTGCTGAAAGTTTCATGTGTCACGGAAAAAAATCAAAGGGCCCATTCGCATTGTGCACGTTGTGGCTCCACAAAGGTGTTCAGCAACCTGCTTTTAAGGTGCAGAGCATAAATACATTACATTAGCAGAAGGGAAAMGTGATTTTGGATGGAGCTTGTTTTGATCTCAGCTACTACCTGAGCTACTACCTTCACTTACGTATCTGTAGCCAATTGATAAGAGCAGCCTGTCCTTGGGTTTAGAACAGAAGGCATGACATTTTTGTTAGTGCTGTTAATCTCATTAGATATCTGCCCGGAAGTCTTTCCACAGCAAAATGACTCAGGAGATAGCACGGGTATGGGTTCTTTCTTAACACACAAGAGTTTTTCACAGCTATCAAAATTAAACAGCTTATACTCTTTTAAGGCAACTCCAACTGATTCAGTAAAGTGGAAGCTACTTTCCCTTTATTTGAATGACGCATATTCCCCTTTCTGTAGAAGAATAGCTCGACAATTCAGGTTATGGCAATGGACTGTTCACATTAAACTAAGCTGTCACCATCTGTTCCACCTCACATTTACAGAGGCAGGCAAAAGTGCTCACAGCTTCAGCTGGGGCATGTTCCTCCTGCTGCACACTGCACAACACAACATATTCCTTCTTTTCTAGGGGAAATTTAGACCCAGACTAGGGAAAACTTGCTAAAACAAATGCTTTGATTAGACCACAGTACTTTTCAGATGATACAGACTTTGTGAAGAGCTCTGCACGAAGTCAGTCATGTTTGAGAGTACAAGTSTCCTTTCATATTCTTCCATATATTACCAATCGATATAAAACCTACTGCTAAGAAACACAACTCTGATGAAAAACGTCTCAGTGTGGATATTGTSATGATAGCTTCTCCTTGCCTCTTCTGCTATTATTAAATTACCCTAAAAAATGGAAAATGAATAATGTCACACCATACTGACAAGCAAACTAATTCCTGTTCACTTTCTGAGACTATGTTCCTCAAGGAATTAATTTCAAAGCACAAGCTGAAGCAAATCCTTGCCTTTTTGTACAAAGGAAACAGAATCAGAATTTGTGAGAATCGATACCCTTTCCTCTGTAATCTCCTCATCCAGGTCCTGTTGAAAACTCAATGTTAATCCTCATAAGAAAACCCGAGAGGCTTTTCCTGTTTGTATCTTTTCCTCTTCTTTCATCRCAAACAAATAATATGAATTTCTAGTCCTCTGTGCTTGCAAAAGGCAGCCTTGCAAAATAAGAGGCGCTCAGTAGTTAAACTTACCGGGTTGTCAATATTCAATGGTTAATTAGTTTGCTAATAGCCCAGGCCTGATAGTACTTCAGCAAAAGAAATTCTGCTGTTTCAACATTCTTCCTTATCTTATTTTCTTGACATATTAAGACCAGAGCAATGAAGCCCATTATTACTTCTGTCGTTATTCCTTCACCAAAGATTTCCTTTGAGACACTGTGGTGATGGGCAGCAACAGACAAAGTCTTTTATCTGTAGGTCTCTGGTTTGAATTCAGAAAGGGATGGCAGTAACCAGAAATCTATTATTTTCCATCGCTAGATACTGGAATGTCTTGAAATACATTGATATTCCTAATGGCAAATGTTTATCACAAAACAAAGCAGAAGCAAATAAAGAAAACAAAACACTTCTGCAATTGCTGYCTAGCCCACGCCGCCTACATATGTTAAGCTACAGAATTTACRTATTCTGTTAGCCTTAAAGGTCTAGTCAAAACTGTATCTGTGTCGTCTTTTTTCTGTTACCCTTCAGCCTATTTCTAGAGAGTAAAAAATTATGCTCACTAGCAAATATGAGTGGTATCAGCAGAACATTTTTTTCTCTTGAAATATGCAATTTCAGATGAAAACTAGAGTGCCATAAAGTTTTGACTGACTGCAACAACATTTCATTGGGAGAAAAATTTAAATATTCATTTTAACTCATGGTGGCTTTTCTCTTTGCTCTCTCTGCCAGCTCTTGTTTGGATACTGCAGAGGCACAGCACTGTCTAGACCTGATAAAAATAGCCCTGGAGCTTTGAGCTCCTTGCTTCGGATGCTCAGCCAGGCCACCTCATGTTATCCCGAAGGACATCTCACACATGTGGCGAATGTGGAGTCATCCCTGTGCAGCTCTGCGTAACGATCCTGGAGCTCTACCTACATCTCTGGAGGTTACCAAAGCGGGAAGCAAAGCACGTAAGGACACTTTAGTCTCCTCTGGGAGAATACAAAAGGCCACGGACTAATGAGGAACTTTAGCAAAGGCTTCCAAAGGAGTGAACTGAGAAGCTTAAGTCGTGAATCGGCCGCTTTGGCACTTGTGTCAAATAGATTAGTATTGTTAGCTCTGGCTAGGGGGGAAATTAGGCAGGGATAAGTGGAAGTGCCAAATTTCCATGACTTAGTTCTTGTGTGTCCACGTTTCACAGCCCTAGCTTGATGTGCAAAGCAGCGCAGTACCCACCAGGCAACTGAAGATACTGAGGGGCTGCAAGAGGCTGATATTTCTGCATTGCTTTTTAGGCTCTTAAAAGATTTGAACAAGTGCCTTGCCCCAAATGGAACAGAGCATATCTTTCTCCCTAAGTTTTTAACTAAATAAAAACTACATATCTTTAAACATTTCTAAATATTTCTTAGATGACCAAATATTTTTTTTCATGGTTAGATATACTATATGATATATCAGCCAACAGGACTCCAGTTGCTCATGCACCCTGGAAAAATAATTTTAACTCTTGCTCATGAAACTCCAGACACCTATCATAAAGCAATGAGGTAGAAGGAAGCCTTTATAACAAATGTCTTTACTGAAATAGAGGCTGTTTCAAATATCTAATTTGAGTCTTAATCAATAAGTTAACATGACAGCCAGGTGGGATCTGGCTGTTATCTCTAACAGTGCTCAGGAGCCAAATAAAGTCYAATACTAAATATCATGAACTTCTGTAATTGGATCTCATACAAGGAATTTTTGGCTTACTGGATCTAATAAACACCAGTGAGCTAATTCCTTTTCCCTAATATATTTACATATTACCCAATTTTGATTAATATCTTATGCTTAATTACACATTCCTTTTATAGGTTCTTTTCTTTCCCTCTTAATACAGGAAATCAGCAYGCAATCTTGTTGCATGCTCTTGATCCCACGTTTTGTGAGGCAGGTCCAAACAGAGCTAAGCAATAAATAAAGCCATGAGATCCATAAATTCAGAAGCTGACTGCTCCTTCCTCTTAACCAGAAGTTAAGCAGATCTTGGGCCACTGGGGCAGTGGCCTCTTTTCAGCTGACACCGTATACTGAAGACATCCTAACTCTCACGATTATTAAGATACAAYACTTATGCATGAATAGGCGTGCTTGCCACTGCATCCCAGAAAGTTTAGTTTTGTATTTTCTTTGCCTTCCTTTACTATTCAATCTATACTGGAAATATTTTTCTAAATTCTCTACTCTGAGGCTGCATGATTAACTCCAAGTTAATCACTCACCKGGAATCAAAACAATCTCAATGTCTAGATCCACAAGAAAAGAGACAGAGCTTCAGCACAGCTAACCCTCCTGCACCCTGCATTGTCCTCAGCCATAATCTTCCTTACACAGGAGCTGGACATCTCCGGATCCAGAGGAGATAGCAGGCTGAATTACCTAAACTCCTCGGCAGGGAATCCTAAGGAGATGAGCTTAAGTTTCACCTCCTAAGAAGGAAAAGGCTGCAAAAAAGGCTTCAGCAGCAGAAATTTTAAGAACTTTATCTCAGACCATGCAAGCACACGCTCCTGGAAGAGGCAGAGCCCTGCTTTAAACAAACAGCATGAGGATGTGCAGCACAGTTTCTCATCTCAAACTAGGAGCCATAAACACTAGGTTGCGAGTGAAAAGGCAGGGAAATGCACAGCATCCTTCCTCTTCCTTCCCGTTCTAATAGGTATGAAATTTCACCTGGTCTTGTGTTCCAAGAGTATCCATTTCTTCAGTCTTTGTGGGTGCTATTGGGAAGAGAAAAGCTCATTTCTGAATCCTGCTGGAGATGAAGCACCACACCAAACTCTATAAGAAGAGACTTACATGCAGGCTCAGCAGACACATACTGTAGTATCATAGCTGGTAGATAAGGAGGCCTCTGCAGGCTTAAGCAGCCACTGAGAAGCCTGTTGGGAATCTATACTTTGGATTTCACCATTTAAAATATAAGCCGAGCTTTGCCTCTTCTGCAGCTACAAGCAGACTCACTAACTATAACTGCAGGCAGCTGTTCCTGCAGTAGAAACGTGTAGCTTCCCTCGTGCRGGCGCATCAAGAGGAGTTAGCAAGTGGAGGCTTACTGTAATTTGAGTCTATCTGTTGTTGAAATATGTTGTTGAAATATGTTAAAATATGTCATGACGTGTTTTGATACATATTATAAATGCATCCTAGTGTTAGGATAACAGAGGCTTTAGAAAATCGATGGAGGTGGCTGTAGTGGTCCAGGGTGCTCACACCCTGATGGACAGTGATGCAGGAGGTAACTTGCTGGTAAAACTCAGTCACTTTGTCATGTTGGCTGGTTTTACACCACTTCTCTGAGTACTCTGAACGTCACAGAAATTCAGCCACTAACAAGTACTATTTGTTAACATTTTAGCTATTTCTTTGCAATTTCTTTCTGCAAAGACATCAAAGAATTTTCACACTATAATCTGAGTAGCCCCGCTGGTGTTTTTCTGCACGAAAATGAATGAAAAATGCAGCTCTTTCCAGGAACACAATAGAAGTGAATAGAGATGTCAAAGACTGAATTAAAGATTTTCAAAGTCACAAAGGGGAAGTCAATTGGTGAAAAAGTATGAACTCTCTTTCTCCCTTGAAAATTCCCTTCTTTATCCCTAAATGTCATGTGAACAAAAATCTCGATTCCCTGTGACCAAAGACCAATAACTTTCAAAAGTGCTCACAAAATTTACAGCCAATACATTCCTTGGATACATATCTAAGTTATTATAGCCATATATAAATGCTAAAAAGAGAAAAGATGTCGAAAAGGAAGTTTGAGGTTCRTTTTTCTCATCTG